TATCTCCCCGCTCCGCCCCTGACACCTACCAATCTGCTTTCTGGACGGCTTTCAGGCAGGGTTTTTAGGTATAACCAAATCTGACCACCACATGACTTCTTTGATTCACAGAATGACTTTTTTTTTTTTTAAGATAAATGCCAACATTTTTCAAATCATAGATGTCCCATAAAAATCTGGCGTTATGGTCGCCCCAGATTTCCCAAGAGCAGGTATGCAGTCTCCCAAGCACCTCAGTTCACCCCACCACTTCTGGGAAAGCCTGCCTGCACCTGGATTCACCTTTTCACCCATCCCCAACTCTTCATTACTGGGTACCACTTGCCCCCAGCAAATGAAAGCCTTGCAAATTTTTCTTTTCTTTTTTTTTTTTTTGTTTTTTTTTTGTTTTTTTGGAACTTTACTTGGAAATAGGGTTGGATTGACTCTGACCACATGTAAGCAGAGATCTTCTCCTTTAAATCACACATAAGTCGCCTTTCAACTGGAAAAGCCTTTGGATCTGCCCCACCCAGCCCACTGCTGCTTCTCCTACCAAACTGCCACCTGCATCCCACCTGCAGCCCATCAGGGCCACGCAGATCCTTCCGCTGCCTTCGCATCCTTCGCCGTGCTTGCCTTCTAGGAACTCTCACTAGTTGGGCCTCCAGATTTTGCTCGTGGCTCGCTCCAGCATCCTGGCTTATCCTCAAAGTCCTCCCTGGGGGCTTCTGGCCCTACTCCATGCCTTAATTTCTTGCGGGCTCCAGCTCTCATTTAAGCACCTTCTTTCTCATCCTGCTGAGGCAGTTTCTTCCTTGGAGCTCAGGGGGCAAGGGTTGGAGTCTTGGCCCCACAGTTGGCCCCTGATCCTTCAGGTACAGTACACATGATGGACAGGCTTGTTTAAGATGACAGGATATGTGGACAAAGAAATCCCAGTGTCCCGCCTTGTTGGGGGCCAGAGATTCATTCCAATGCAGCTTTCATTCCAAGCCCCCTAAGCCAGAGGCACATTCACAGCTCTCTGGGTTGGAGCAGAACTGTATGAGAGAGTTGGAGCCACTGCCCACAAGATGTCAGTCAGACCCCTCACTGCCATGGGCCCCAACCATCCTCATGCTAACAGCTCTGAAGATGGGGTTCTAGGAAGATGACTGCCAGGGCATCCCACAGACCAACTGCCCTCCAGAGACACCTGCCTGGTGTCCCTCAGCCCTTCAACTAAGCTTGTCGAAAGACAAGCTTGATCAAAAGAAAACCAACTGCCTCCCCTAGGCCATCCCTCCACCCTCCAAGGCCTAAGGATCGCCCTGTTCTCTTTTCTCCTCTGCACTTAACTGCCCCAGGCTCCCTTTCTTCTGTCTTCTTTTCTGCATCTTTGGATGTCTGCAGCTGACTCTAAGCAAACTCTGCCTCCAGCCCATTCCCCTTCCATCCCATCCAATACCAGCAGCCAGCAGGATCCCTCTGAAATAGACACACTGAGATGTGTGTCTAACCCAGCTGACCAGTTCCCTCAAATCCCTTCCTGCTTCAGTAGCCCCTAGCAGTGGGGTGTTATAGGCTGGCCTCCTGCACCCATACCCACTCTGTTCCCACCTGTCACCACAGTGAATCCCATGCTGGGCCTTCTCACCTCGAGGGCTGCCTGCTCTGTCCCGAACAGTCGTCACTGCAGCACTGTACCAGTGCCCGGTACAGAGCAGCCCTCTGCGAGTGAGAATGGGTGAATGGTCAGCAGAGGAGGAAGTGGGCTGTAGCCACTGCCAAGACCCCACTGCAGGGCCACAGTGATCAGCCAAGGAAGCCTTACTTGGACCTCTGAGGAAATGGGGTGACAGCACCATGGAAGGCCACCATCAACGCTGTCTTGGCTGACACAGGCACGGATGTGGCCCAGGGTCCTGGGCCTAGAGAGTCACTCTTCAGAATCCCGATTGACCAAAGCAGCCAAATTGAGTTAATTGCTCAGCCTGCCTAGTCCCAAGATGCTGCTTAAGCGGTAGTGAGATAGAGTACCAGCCCCCTCTTCTCTTTTTGCTCACTCCATGCACGCTTGGCTCACCCTGTGCCTTCGTCTGCCAGTGTCCCCTGCAAGATGCCAATAGCTGCCCATTGGGACACCTCCCAGACTCCTTGTCTGTCCTCCAGCACTTTGTCACAGAGCATCTGCTGGGCCAGGTACTGGGTGCAGTCCAAGTCCTCATCATCTCATGCTCCAGAACCAGAGGCAAACAGACCACCCTCCTCCCCACCACAGCCAGGGCCTCTGGGAGCAGAGACCTGGGTACTGCTAGGTTTTGAGGCTCCCAAAATGATTTTTTTTCTTAAAGGATGAAATATATACACAAGGCACACTGTAATATATTTAAATGTATATATTGAACAACTTAACAGAAAGAGTGTAATGACGTTGTGCTATCCGTGACATGATTATAGAATTCTTGAAACCTACACTGATTCCTGATGCAACTGCTCCTGGTGCAGTCCTGTCACAGCCAGGTGGTGACTGACCGCTGTGGTTTGAGGAAGCTGAGATTGGCATGAGTGGGCCCCAGCCACTGGCTACAACATGGTCTGGAGGGGTGAAGGCCACATAGGGCTAGCCTTCAGATCATCTTCTTTAATTGACAGTGGTTTTGAACTCTTTGAATTTCCTGTGAATTGAGATTTCACACACAAATCCAAATCTTTGGCTTCTTTTGAGAAGTACAGCCCTAGTGCACCAGGCTTACCTGTCCACATGGCACCCACTTGGTCAAGACCATCAGCTCCCATCCATTTACAGCCCAGCCCCTGCAGACTGGAGTTTGTGAAAGCTGGTTGGAAAAAAACAACAATTAGGAGGCTAGAGGAAGATAACAGAGGGGCAAGCCCCAAGGGAGCTGGCCAGGGCAACCTGGCTCAATATTAGGGCTGGGGTATGTCCCCATGAGCAGGCAAGTCTGTGTGGCACCATCAAGAGCTTGTTACCAGGACTCTGCCCAGACCTGAGGAAAAGATTTCATCATAAATGTGTACATGCCTTCTGATACAGTTAAGGGAAAATAGGGGGAAGCATACACATTTCGTGGAAGAAAAAACTAACAGTAAACAATTATCTTTTCGCATTTTGGTTTGCAGGTGAGAGAACTGATAATTGGCATTTTATGTATATTTTAAAGACTTCATACTGTGGTATAGAGAAGGTGGGCTTTCAGTATGACAATCACAAATGTGAGCCTTTATAGTCTTTGAATGTACAAGACACTTTAAAGAAAAGCTTGTCGTTGCCTTGTTTACATCAGTGCACTCTGTGTTTGAGCCATCTGTACTTTTCTGTAACAACCACTGTTGTAGGGCTTATGAAATTTAAAGTCTTTTACTCATGTGAGAACCAGCCTAATCTTTTCAAGTGTCTTTACGCCTAAAGAAAAGGTATCTAGCTAGGTTTTTCCCCAATGTGAGAATTCCTACTGTCTCTCTGCTGTTTTCAGAGTCAGAGTCGTTACAAATTGTTGTGCCAGACAAAGAAAAAACGCCTGCGTCTTGACACGTTTTCTCAGCTTCAGATCCAGCACGCCAGCCCTGGCTTGAATCAGTCTTTCTCAGCGGGCAAGTGCCCAGGCTCAGCCTTGGGCAGTAATGTCCGCTCGCGGCTCCAGGGCCGGTCCGCGAATCAGCGAAAGAAAGTCTGGCTGGTGCGGCTGAACAGCCACCGCGCACGCCCCGTCCACTGGCGCCTGGCCCACTGCTGGCTGCCGTCCCCGGGGCCCGGCGCCCGGCCGGCCCTGGTCACCGTCCCGCCAGCTTCGGATTCCGTCAGTGCGGACACACGAGCTCTGGACACTGCGCTGCTGCTCAAAGGCACACGTGACAGTGACGAAGAGCAGTTTAAACACGCGTCCAGCGCGGACGTTTTCCCCGGCCGCGCCCTGGAGCCCGCGAGGGGGGTCGGTGGCAAGTGTCGACGGCTCGCACGTGTATCGGGTCGTGGTGAGTGTCTCTCTTTCAACTTGGGTGTGTGTCATTTTGCGTCTCGCACTTCCCGCTGTTTCCGGATACTCGTTTGTCGGACAACAATGAAGTTTACGGCACAGTATCCACCATGAACGCCGCACGTCGCTGCTCCCGAAGGACTCACCTCCCTCACCGGCCCTGCGCCCGCCGCCTCAGCCCGGCCGCGTCCTCCCGGAGGAGACGGCTCCTCGGCATCTTCCCACGGCCTCTGCTCCGCGTCCTCCCTCACCCCCTGACCACTATATCTACGCTAGACCCCGGCAAAGGGCCGCGGTACGAGCGCGGGGGCGACGTTCGCGGGGGCGACGTTCGCGGGGCCCACTACACAGTCTGCGGGAACCGTACACTTGCGACGGCGCCTCAAGCACCGGCGTCAAAACTCGAACTCTGCGCGACCGGACGGCCGGGGCAGAGGCGCACGGGCCCTTGCATGGACCTCTGGGAGTTGTAGTTCGGCGCCCGCCTGCGCAGGCGCCGTCCCGGTCAACGGCGGGCGTGGCCTTCGTCCCCGGTCATCAGACAAGGGAATGGGTCTTGGAAGGGTTTTAGGGCGGGGCGGCGAGGCTAAGGCCGGCGTGGGTCCTCGAGGCCGAGCCCGTACTGCGAGCGGACTCGGGCGAGGCGAGCACGGAAACGGCCGGAAGTGCGCGCGCCGCCCTCTAGGAGATGTAGTTGGGCGCCCGCCTGCGCAAGCTCAGACCCGGCCGGTGGCGGCCACGGCCTTTGTCCTGCGGTCCCGCTGGTAAGTGAGGCTGGGGTGGCCGGAACGGGGGAGGCCGAGACGGGCGGGGATCTGGGGTCTTCCCGCGCGCGCCTGTGGAGAGTCCCTTTTCCTGCTTTGAGCCCGGGGCCGGTCGCCTCAGGGGCGGTGGGGGGCGGGGCCCAGTGGGCGGGGCCCCGATTGGGGGTGGGGGTGTCTCCGGGTCCGAGAGTAGGAGTTGGGGTCAGGGTGGGGCCCCTGGCTTTGGCAAAAGGGGTGGGAGCCACCGGCTACTGGTCAGAGTGACCAGCTGGTCTGACCCTTCAGAGACGCGCCACCTGACCTGCAGCCTTCCCCTGCTTCGGTGGGACGTCCGGGGTTTGGAGGGTGGGGAGGGCCGAGGCCTCCTGCGAAGTCGTCTCTGCAGCGTCACCTTAGTGAGCAGCCAGCTTCTCTGGATGATCGTGAGAGAGACCAGGAGCACACACTTTACTCCCAGCCGCCGGGGACCCAGGAAGCGGGCTCATTATGTTAAAGTCTTACTGAGTACCATCCAGGCCCCGTCATTATTTCAGCAAGCACATGTTTAGATGTCCTGGGTGCCAGGCCCTACCCTATACCCCAGAGCCCCCAGGGGAATCAGGGAGATGGTAAGAAATCTGTCAACACATCACTGAACGGGAGAACTCCCATCTTGGAAACTGCTGTGGAGACAACGGGGCACAGACGGGATCGGCCGGAATCAGGGGAGCACAGGAAGCGTCAAGGGGAGGTAGAGCCACAAGGGAAATGCATACAACCTTGGGCCCGAGTTTCATCTGGGGCACTCAGCCAGGGAGGAGGTGTGGGCACTCAGGAGGTGCTCACTGAAGTAAGAGGCTTTTATTTCCGCACTGACTGCCTTCATGTGTATCCTGCTGCGTGCTATGCTCCATCTTCAGCCCTTGCCACACCTAAATTCCTATAATGTCTGTGCTGGCTCACCACTCTGATTTTATGAGTTGGAGAAACTGAGGTAAACAGTACCCAAAGACCCCCTATCTAGCTTTCTGTCATAGTAACAAATATCAAACATCTGGGCAACTGGGGGTGTGCCCTTTGCTAGCTGTGGCCCTCAGTTTTCCTATTTGTGAAATGGGGTAGAATTCAAGGTAGTCTGTCAGCAGTGCCTGGAGTAGCACTGGGCACACGGTAGATGCTTGGGAGAATGCCAGGCTGAGGTTTCGCTGCTGTTGGCTTGGGCCTGGGCACAGGGCTCCGGGCTCTAGCAGCCACAGCCTACTTGCACGCACATCCTGAGGTGCATGGTTTCTGATCACCACAGGCACTTGCCCAGTCTCTTGCATCCCCTTCCCCCCACAGAACCACCTGCAGAGGAACTGGCTGTTTCTGGAAGAGGCCAGAGAAGGAGGGAATGACCGCTGGGCTCATCGCTGCTGGGGCCCCAGTGAGTACACCACCACCCTCCCGCTCAGGCCTCCCAGGCCTGGCCTCACACCCCCACTGGACTCATTCTGCTCTCAGGGCCTTTGCCCTTACTCTGCCCCCACCAGGAATGTGCCCAACCAGCTCCATCTTCCCCCAGATCTCCCACCTCACCACCTCCGAGAGGATCTCCCTGAGTCTTTACCTGCCCTGTTCTATCCTGGCAGACAGTGCTCGTCCATTCCACTGATGTGTCGAGCACTTTCTCGACACAGGGTTCCAGTGTACTCACTCCCAGCTCACTCACTCCACTCAGTCCCCTTGGTGACCTGCCATTGACTAGGTGCCCTTCTAGGCACTGTTGTGGGAATTGCAGGTACAGGAACAGACAAGCAAAAAATTACCATCCCGGGGCGCCTGGGTGGCTCAGTGGGTTAAAACCTCTGCCTTCGGCTCAGGTCATGATCCCAGGGTCCTGGGATTGAGCCCTGCATCAGGCTCTCTGCTCAGCAGGGAGCCTGCTTCCCCTTCTCTCTCTGCCTGCCTCTCTGCCTACTTGTGACCTCTATCTGTCAAATAAACAAATAAAATCTTAAAAAAAAAAAAATTACCATCCCTATGGGGCTTACAGTTCCTACGAGGAATGTTAATGTGCCACATGTTGTGCGGGAAAATGAGGCCCAGAAGAAGATGGCTTGGGCTCCAGGCATTACCCAGTATAGCCCAGAACACCTCCCTGAGGAAGTGACCCCCAGACAGAGACCTGCAGGGGGGCTGGGAGTGAGATCAAGGGCCCACAGGAAGAATGTTCCAGGCTGGGGAATACTATGTAAGTAAGGAGTAAAGGCCTGAAGATGGAACCATGCCAGTCACTTTCCGTAAGGGCCAGGCACATATATGTAACTGGAGGACTGAGAACAAGGTCTCCTAGGCCAGCTGTCGGGGGCCTGGAGATTAGGGCCTTGGGAACTGACAAACCATCTTTGCCATGTGCAAAGGCCCAGAACACAGTAGGCGCTCAGTGAATGGGTAGAAATACGCCAAAGCCTGTGGTCAGTGCTGGACACTGTGGGTGGGTGCACCTCATCCTACACCCACATCAGCCCCAGGACGCTGCAATGAGGAAACCAGGACACAGAGGCATGTCCCAGCCCTGAGGCCACACAGCTGGGAGTGGCAAAGCCAGGCCTGAGCTCAGGACACCTGGGCCCAGCTCAGATCCCAGTGCCTTTGTGGCTCTTGCAGACCTCTGCATGACCATTCCGGCAGCGCCCCTCCCGGCCTCCCATTTTTTCGGCAGCTCCCAGACTCTGCGACTAGAGCAAGAGCACCCTGTGGCTAGGGGAGTGTCTGTTGTTACCTGACCTCTGTGGTGCCCAGAACGGGGACCCACGCTCACTGGAACTCTGCAGAGAACCACTAAGACCTACTAAGTGGGGAAAATGTAGCAGAAATGGGGAAATTGGTGAAAGAAAATCAACCCCCCGCCCCGAGCCTCCAGCACACCAGCCTGAATGGGGGCTTACACAGGTAAAGCACCCATTCTGTGCGGGGCCCGGCGCACACATCATGGGAATCCCCTTATGCCTCCCAGCAGCCTCCTTGGGGAGTTCTCACTAACTCACAGATGAGGGCAGGGAGGTGCAGAGCACTTTAAAGGATGGACCTGGGGCTGGAGTTTGAAGCCCCATCCGTCTCGGGCCGAGTCTGGACAGCACCACCCCCAGATGCCTAGTTCACACTGTCTGCTGCCCCACATCTCCCCGCCTCTGGTGGGAGGAATGTTAGCAGAGGCAGATGCTGCTTACTGGGCCAGGATCTAGTATTTGGGCACCCTGTCTGTGTCCCTCACTCGGGGCAGTGACACCTAGTGTCAGGATGAGCTATGGACTTTGCCTCTGTCCCCACCCTCCCGCCCCAGCCATCCACAGCACTTGATTTGGTGAGAAGAAACTGCCTTTGTGGGGGATGGCTGTCCCCCTGCCCCTCACGTGCCTTTGAGAAAATCATGAATTCCCAACCCAATCCCGGAAGAAATTGGCCTTGTGTGGGAATTTCAGAAAACATACACAAGTGTGGTGGTGACGAGGAACACCCCAGGAGCCACCATTAGGCTTTCTCCTTGGGGATCGTGTTTTTACCCCAATATGTAAATGTCCAAAATTAGTCTAAGAAACGGTTTCCAGGGGTCCCATCACTGGACACCCCTCCCATCCGGGTTTACTCACTTGTTCTTCCCACCACTCCACTGGCTCCTTTCTTTCTCTCCACTTTGCATTCAGGTATCGTTCGTGGGCAGTGCAGACTGACAGGAGTCTGCAGCTTGGTGACTGCAGCTGTGGACACCAGGGGACATTCTGCCTGACTCGTTGGAGGTTTTCAGCCTCCCGGGGCTGCTTTGTGCCCCTCCCTCGGTCACGGCCATGATGGCATCTCAGGGGTCCTATGTTTGCACGACTGGGGTGTGTCCTCTTATACCCTAAGACCCCCATTTCTCCAGCAGAGCCCCCAGACACACAACCCCCCCGGGAAAACGTGGTCCAAATTCTCAGACCTGAGAAAACCCACCCCCCCCCCATCTTGGCTGTCCCTGTCTGCCAGCTGCTCCCAATAGCAGCCATCACCGGGCTTGGCCTGGGTGAGAACACCTGTGTGTGACATTTGTTTCAGGAGCAAGTGACCTTTGAGGACGTGGTCGTGGACTTCACCCGGGAGGAGTGGGGGCAGCTGGAGCCTGCTCAGAGGAACCTGTACCGCGATGTGATGCTGGAGACCTTCAGGCTCCTGGTCTCCGTGGGTAAGGCCACACTTGAACACCCGATGGTCTGCGCCCAGCAAAAACTCTAATTCTCCTGGTTTAACAGTTGGGGTAGGTCTAGGCCTTAAAAGCAAATGCCTAGCAGTAGTTTGGGGCTTTAGAGACCTGATGTTTGGTTTCAAGTTACAGATCCCACCTGAAAATGCCAGGAGCCAAAAATCATGGGTTAAGAGGGCCTTAGTGGGTCCCATGACTGCAGAATCCCAGGGTAGACCTGAGTTTTCCTGTGGTCTGTCAGGAGCCCTCTCCTTTCATACCTACTCCATCTGGGTCCAGGGCCAAGTCTTGCCAGTGCCACCACCTTCTGCCTCCATTCACACATGGGCCCCCTAGAGGTGAGGGGAGCTGCCATAGTGCCTCATCTGTGTCTTGTCCTGGGCCCCCAGGGAAGGCCCATGGGTCGTCTTGTGTGGCAGCCAAGTCCCCTCCACACTGGTCCTTGTTGCTAGCCAGTGGTCGGGGGTGCAGCAGAGCTCTGACTGGCTGGAGCTGGATCACACAGCCCCCTGCCCAGAGCCAGGGTTGGGTCCCTATAGGGCCAGGCATCAGGGCCTCTACCACAGCTGTGGCCTTTGGGGCCTGCAGTCGAGTGGGTCGCGGAGGAAGGAAGGTGGACTGGACAGAGGGATGAGAAGGGTCCTGGAACACCAACGCACACTCGTGGATCCCCACCCATGAGCAGAACGCTGGCTCCCCAGGCCGGATGTCGATGTCATTTCCCCGCTGGAGCAGGAGGAGCTGTGGGTGGCCGATGCAGGGGTTCCCCAGCCTGTGTGCCCAGGTGAGGGGGGAGCTCTGCAGGGCTGGGAGGAGCCCATTCAGCCCCGTGGCACTCTCTCTCCATATCCGCCCTCACATTCTTCAGAGCAAACTGACTACTCGGTCTTTGAGTAAACGTGCACCAAGCACCTGCTCTGAGTGAGGCCTTCAGTGAGCCGACATCCTTGGTGAGGGAAGGGGCACACGGTAAGCAGGTAGAATCATAGCTGCACGAGATACTCACGGTGTATGATGAATGCTGAGGCTGTGTGCAGGGCGCCCCCCCCCCCAGGTTTTGGGGAGGACCTGAGCAGAGAGGAGGCTAGCCTCTCCAGGGAGGTGATGTGTGAGCCAAAGCCCAAGTCATGAGAACAGTGCCACCTCAAGACAGGCTGGGAGAACAGAATTCCAGGCGGAAGGACCAATAAGTGCAAAGGCACTGGGGTGGGGCAGCAGCCTGCTCTTCCTCTGTAACAAACCCTCTCACCTCAGAGATTTAAACCACAGAATCTTTAATGACTCACCTGTCTGTGGGTTGGTAGATCCCGTCTGGGTGCTTCCGCATGCCTGTGCAGGCTGTGTTCTTGGTACATCTTATTCAGCTCCTGCGACCAGTACCAGCTCTGTAGGAAGTGGGGCTGTCCCAGCACTGGTGTCAGGCCCTGACCTAGTTTAAGCAGCGGCCTGTCACCAGGGCCCGGGAAGAATGGCCAGTGTGTGGGAGGAGTCACAACCACGTCTCTGCAGCTTCAGGAGCAGGCAGCCCTTGTCTAGGACATTCGCTTTCTGTGAGTGTTGTAACGAATTGACAGGAGCTTAGTGGCTTAAAGTAGCAGGAACTATCTCCCAGTTCCAGTGTCAGTGTCGGTGCTGCAGTCCGGGGGCAGCAGGCAGCATTCCTCCTGCGGAGCCTGCGAGAACCCATGTCCTTTCTCCTTTTGGCTCCCAGAGGTGCCCGCATTCCTTGACCCACAGTCTTGTCCACCTTCGCAGTAAGCACAGCTCTGAGGTCTTCTCCTGTCACTCTGGCCTCGGCCCTCCCGCGTCCCTCACTCACAGATCAGAACGCTTTTGACCGCTTCCTCACTGGTTCCAGGAATTAGAATGTGGCCGTATTGGGGACCACTGTTTTGCCAGCCACACCTGGCTTGAGCTCTTTTTTTTTTTCCTGAACACTTCATTAGAGCGTGATGTAAATGGTAGGGTGCCTCCTCACACTTTTAAGCCAGTCCAGTGCTGAGCTGGGGACGCCAGGCTGAGGCTGTGGCTGTGCAGGGCACCCTGGGTACCGGGGCCAGAAGGCAGTCCTGCCAGGAAGGGGAAGGAGGAGATGCATTCGTTTGTTCATTCAGCGTGTCTGCTGGTCTCTGCCATGGCCGGGGGTGCAATGGTAACCAAGGTGGACAGAAGCCCTGCCCTTGGGGGCTCCCAGTGGCTGAGACAGACCCAACAAACCAGATCCAGACCAGATCCAAGTCCTCTTGCTCACCTCCGGTCACTTATCCCTGCCTCTGGCCGTACACACGTCAGCTGGCTCCAGCCTGGGGAGCTGGTGGTTTCTCTAGATCTGGCCGAGCTGGAGCAGCAGCGGGAGGGCTGCGCTGGCTGGTCCTTCACCGGTGAGAGGCGGGTCTTCCTCCATCGGCACCTGGCACTCAGGGGCTGCTTTCGCCAGGGCCTGGCCATTACTCAGCCCCTTCCAGCCTGGGGCATCTGCCGACAGCTTCCCTGGATGCTTCCCTGGATGCTCACCTTCTGCCCTGCGTCCTCTCCGTGCCCTCATTCTCTGTGGTCCCCTTACCAGCTGCCCCGCCTCTTGACGATTCTCCGTGCCTTCTTCCCTGCTCCTGTTCCTCCTCTGATCTGTGAAGCTGTATTTTTAAGTGGTTGAAGCCACTGGTGCCTTCAGCCTTTCTAAACCACCAGTTTTAGTCTTTAGCCACCCGCCCATTGCAAATTCTTCCCCCCCAAACTGGAATTAAGGGGCATCTCCATTTTTGTTTCTTTCAGACTTGGAAACTCAACCCAAAATCAGACTGTCCTCTCCAAAGCAGGACATCACTGAAGAAAGAGGCAGCAGTGGCCTGGTGGAAAGGTTCCTGTGGGAAGGTCTGTGGTACGCCGAGGGTGACGATGCCGAGGGCCACTGGGGACAGAGTCACGAGAGCCGAGACAGCCACATGGTGAAGGCAGCCTTCACGCCTGTGAGGATCCCCATGCAGCAGCAGCAGCTGGGGAATGGGTTCAGGGAAAACTTGATTCTGAGCCCCCGTCTCCCACCTCAGGCGATGACTCCTGAAAGGCAAGGCCTCCACACGCCGGGGACACGCGCGAAGAGGGGGAAGCCAGACCCGGGGTTCAATGCTCAACCGAAAACATATGCAAAGGAGAAGCCCTACAAGTGCCAGGCCTGTGGAAAGGCGTTTAGTCACAGCTCAGCTCTCATCGAGCACCACCGAACGCACACGGGAGAGAGGCCCTACGAGTGTCACGAGTGCGGAAAGGGCTTCCGCAACAGCTCGGCGCTTACCAAGCACCAGAGAATCCACACGGGCGAGAAGCCTTACAAGTGCACTCAGTGTGGGAAGACCTTCAATCAGATCGCCCCGCTGATCCAGCACCAGAGGACGCACACCGGGGAGAAGCCGTACGAGTGTGGCGAGTGCGGCAAGGCCTTCAGCTTCAGGTCCTCCTTCAGCCAGCACGAGCGCACGCACACGGGCGAGAAGCCGTACGAGTGCAGCCAGTGTGGCAAGGCCTTCCGCCAGAGCATCCACCTCACACAGCACCTGCGCATCCACACGGGCGAGAAGCCCTATGCGTGCGGCGACTGCGGCAAGGCCTTCAGCCACAGCTCGTCGCTCACCAAGCACCAGCGCATCCACACAGGCGAGAAGCCGTACGAGTGCCGCGCGTGCGGCAAGGCCTTCACACAGATCACGCCGCTGATCCAGCACCAGCGCACGCACACAGGTGAGAAGCCATACGAGTGCGACGAGTGCGGCAAGGCCTTCAGCCAGAGCACACTCCTCACCGAGCACCGGCGCATCCACACGGGCGAGAAGCCGTATGGGTGCAACGAGTGCGGCAAGACCTTCAGCCACAGCTCGTCGCTCAGCCAGCACGAGCGCACGCACACGGGTGAGAAGCCGTACGAGTGTGGCCAGTGCGGCAAGGCCTTCCGCCAGAGCACGCACCTCACACAGCACCAGCGTATCCACACGGGTGAGAAGCCGTACGCGTGCGGCGATTGCGGCAAGGCCTTCAGCCACAGCTCGTCGCTCACCAAGCACCAGCGCATCCACACAGGTGAGAAGCCGTACGAGTGCCGCGCGTGCGGCCGCGCCTTCAGCCAGCTCGCGCCGCTTGTGCAGCACCAGCGCGTGCACACGGGCGAGAAGCCGTACGAGTGCAGCGCGTGCAGCCGCGCCTTCAGCCAGAGCTCGCTGCTCATCGAGCACCAGCGCATCCACACCAAGGAGAAGCCGTACGGGTGCAACGAGTGCGGCAAGTCCTTCAGCCACAGCTCGTCGCTCAGCCAGCACGAGCGCACGCACACGGGCGAGAAGCCGTACGAGTGCCCGCACTGCGGGAAGTCCTTCAGGCAGAGCACACACCTCACGCAGCACCGGCGGATCCACACGGGCGAGAAGCCCTACGCGTGCGGGGGCTGCGGCAAGGCCTTCACGCACAGCTCGTCACTCACCAAGCACCAGAGGACTCACACCGCGTAGGCTCACCTCACACTTGCCAGGACGCCGCAGAGCCCAAGGCCCCAGCTCGTCTCTTCCGGACCTGACCCGGCCGTCCTCGACGGAAACACCGGTACAAGCAAACGCAAGCCTGGGCGCCCAGTCCGCGGCCCCGACACCCACCGACCGAAGGGACGGACACAACTGCAGGAACCCGGAGCTCTAGGTTGTCCGTGCCTGGACGGCAGGTCGGAGGCAGAAGGGGAACGTGGAGTTCGTCAGTGTTGAGGGCCTTGTCATGAGTGCCCTCTAATGCCACATCCCAGGACCTACAGGAAAAAGGGGGACAAAATGTAGCCGATCTGGAGATGGCTTCTGTCCAAGGATTCGATATTCCAAACTAGGATTTTCAAAGCGATGAGAAACCCCACAAATGCTTTCTGTATACAGGAACCGGATACACAGAATTTATCATTACTGCACATGACGTTTTGGGGAGGGGTGCTTACAAATGGTGCAGGGTGGCTCTAAGTTCTTCTACAGGACTCACAGGCATTAGAAAACACACATGTTGCTGTTTCACAAAAAGGAATATTTTTCCTTTGTTAAGCCACCGTTTTATGAACAATAGTGCCTCCACATTGAAACCTTTTGTTTTGCAAGGTTTATCTCTGTTGAGGAATGTACGAGTTAATCTCTTAACTGTTGTTCACTGAGTCTTCTTCCTGGTGTTTAATAAGCTTTTGTTTCTGTGTTATTTATCTTGACGGTCCACAGTACTACATTAAATCCTGAATCCACTCACAGCAGTCTCTCTGACAACCACGATCCTTGAACGGTGACTTGCCATCCTCATTAGAACCCATACTTAAATTACATTGGCTGGATTTGGTCACCAACCATCAGGGTTCTTTCGGTTGGCTTGATTTTCTGATCACAATGCCGGGATGTAAGTTTCCAGTTAACTTGAAATTTCTCCCTTGGGGGAAAACTATTACAAATAGTCTTCCGATAGTCCCCAGTGTGCTTGTGCAATGCCTCCTCTCCCTTTATTGGACTTTATAAGCCACTTAAAACAGCCGTCTCTGGTAGAAACTATGCAGGCCACATCGGTAAGTTTAGCTATTGTCATAGTCTTATTTAAGAAGCAAGAAGAAACAGGTGAAATTAATGCCTGTTCCTGTGGATCCCAAATGTCACCTTTCCAGCATGCCACTACAAGAGACCACCCGTGAGATGTTTTGGTTGTTTCTGTATAGGGCACCTTTGAAATCCAGTGTATATTTGACTTTTGAGGCATACGTCAGTTCGCTATAGCCTCCTTTCCGGTCATTTGCCACAGGGACCCAGCCAGTGGCTGGACGGGACTGGGCAGCTCAGTGGCCTTGGTCCTCTGGTCAGCTGTTTTGTCCTCCTCCCTTTTTTCGGGCTTCTCTCCTTGTGTTGTGTCTTGTGCTAAAGGAAACCAGATGTTCTGAGAAGATGCGCCTCTTTAGGTGAATGGCATGACAGGCTCCTACCCCTAAATTTAGTGCAGGAAGTAGGTCAGGCACAGTTCACTCTCTAGGGAGATACTTCTCATTGGAGAACACTGCATCTGGGAAAGGTTAAGGCTCCCCACTTTGAGTTCAGGTCAGTAAAAACGGAACCAACCACACTGTTTCACACTCCTTTGAAAATGGCAGGTGACCGAAACTGAGTCACACAAGCTCTTGTCCCGCACAGCCCCGGCTCCCCTGCCCCCATAACGACACACACAGGAATACAGCCCGGAGTTGGCAACCATGGGGAGGTGCCCACAGTATCACTGCCACCCTCCATGGCAAGCGAGACACACGTTTCCTCCCCAGTAGGGCCACACCAGTGGAGGGAACTTGAAGTTACACCAGAGTGTCAGGAAAATGGCAGGGGCAAGTGTGCTCCTGACCAGAGGGCCTCATTTACTTGGGATAGTTGCTGGTATGTCTCAGTTACTGACACAGAAGTTGAAGACCCAACAAGGAAGAATGAGAGGCGTGAACACAGATTCAGAAGAGGCCATGCAGTTTCCGCCTCACTCACTGGGACGCTTGTGCTCAGAACCCAGAGACACTACGTGAGAAGTCCAACCGCCACCGGGCTGCTGTGAGGTTTCCTCGGTGCTTTAAATATCCCAGCTACGGCCAGAAAGGATTTCAGCATCTCATTTTATATAGCTTTTCTTTTTTAAGTTTTAAGTTTTTAAGAAAAATCACCATGCTTAAAACTTAGGATTCAAGGGATACAAACATATTGGTTCTCAGTGTGAATGTGCTGTTTGCTTTCCAAAGCAGTCGCACTGGTTGACAGTGGTTTACAAACTCAACCCAGAGCATGATGAAGGCCTGTATTAGTCCATTCAGGCTTCCACAACCGGATACCTTAGGGTGGGTGGCTTTAACCACAGAAACTGATTTTGTCTCAGTTCTGGAGTTGTTCTTCGCTGGAAGTCCAAGACCAAGGTGCTGTCCGGGTTGGTTTCTAGCGAGACCTCTCTTCCCCGTTTGTAGATAGCCGCCTTCTCGCTGTGTCCTTGCACATGGCCTTTCTTCTGTGTGCACATGATGAAAGGGTAATCTCTGCTCTTCCTCTTCTTAAAAGGATATTGAGGCTGTGGGATTAGGGCCCCATCCCATTACCTCCCTGCAGGCCCTATCTCCAAATAGTTACATGGGGGGTTAGGGCTTCAGTGTGTAAGTTTGGGGTGGGAGGCAATTCAGGCTGTAAAAAAGAGGGTATGTAAGCATTTTCTTCTCATTGAAATTTATTCCCATCTTGCCAGTTTTCCATTTGTGGGATTTGCCCTCCCCGCCCACTCGGAACAGTCATCCTTGGACACCCTGTGGAAACTAGCCAGAGCTCCATTCCATTCTTCCCGCCAGTGCATCTAGGGCTCTCTCTTGCCCTCCAGATACCATGTCCTTTTTGAGTCATGGCTCAGTGCCCCATGATCTGTACACTTCCCAGCCCTCCCAACTGCGTTGGAGACACCAGGGCTGCCGCCTTGTGCTTTCCATCTGCTCCATCTTTCTCAACGGGCCACATCCTTACCTCTTTGGATGGGAGACCCTTAGCACAAACCCAATGCCCCTAATGCCTGAACTAAGGAAGCTTCCTCTGAGATTAACAAGTGGAAACATCTGGCTATATTTCTGCCTCTCTGTAGAAGCAATCATCCATCTGAGTGCTCTACCATGCCTTGGTCAGGTTGGTGGCGGCAGGGACCAACAAACAAATCCTGACGGCTTTTCTAGATTTGGTTTTTGTAGTGGTTTGAGAAAAGCAATTCTGAAATGATTTTGAGGTCTTTCAGAATTTAGCATACTAGTAAACATGCTGATTTCAGAGTTTTCACTTTTGACATAATATGGGGGAGTAGCAGAATGCGCATGGAGGTACTGCTGTACATATATGTGTGTGTGCACACGTACGAACACATACAGGCCTTTGTGTTTGTACCTGTGTGTCCACGTTTCCCAGCTCACTGGAAGATACTCTAGTAGCAATGAATACACCTCAGGTTTGAAGGCACTCAGATTTGGTCTCAGAGCAGCCCCACTAAAAGGAACCAGTTCTCTGGAACTGGAAAATGGCTGATTTTAGGGTAGGAATAATTTGGGATTGGAATAACTTCTTATGCTAAAAAGAACTGTGCAAAACACAGGCAAAAAAACAGAGGCATGTCACAGGGATGCAGGAGCCTTCTTGAAGAGACTCTCATTGGCCACATCTGGGACAACTTGGGTGCCAAAATAACCAAGGATGGTAGTAAGTTATAAAACCTGAAAAAACATGGAGAACACAAGGATCCCTAAATTCATTCTGACTATAAGGACAAATAAATGCAGAGAAAGGAGGGCACTGGCTTGCAGCAGGATGCCCAGGGCTGGGTGGCGAGCCCAGAAGGAGGAGTGGTGTTAACCAACAACTCGGGCGCCTGCGTGGCTCGGTGGGTTAAGCCTCTGCCTTTGGCCCAGGTCGTGATCTCGGGGTCCTGGGATTGAGCCCTACATTGGGCTCTCTGCTTGGTGGGGGGCCTGCTTCCCCCTCTCTCTGCCTGCTTGTGATCTGTCAAATAAAATCTTAAAAAAACAAAAACAAAGATAACCAACAACTCTGCAACCATCATGGCAAGAACCATCAATGGAAGAGAAACTGGGTGAGGGGGCATTTGGGTGAGAAGCAGTATACCTACACTGTCTTCACGTGTCTCCCCACAGACTGCTTATTAGCTAAGGGGAAAAGCAGCCGTAAGTGGACAAACTGGGCACTCTGAGCAAAGGAATCCTCACTGGAGTAGTAACATGGACCCAGGCACTCCAAAGTGTGTGTGGTGGGGGCAGCGGGCACGAAGCACAGGCAAACGGGAAAATGTTCACGGGGAGGCGGTGGAAGATTTTCTGGAAGGAAATTATTTCTAAATAAAAACTTAAAATATAAACAAAAAAGGCACCACCATGTAGCTGTGCACTAAAGAAGACCACAGATGGGAAATGGACAGATGGAGAGCCAGGCTTTCTGGTAAGGGTAGACCCATCAGTGGCCCTGAAGTTGAAAACAGGAGCACCTCAGGTGTTACCTTTCTGTGGCAGGTGAGGCAAGCTCATGGGTTAGGCTGGGAAGAAGAGTTCAGAGAGCAAATACAGGTTTATTTATTTATTTAAAGATTTTATTTATTTATTTCACAGAGAGATCGAGATCACAAGCAAGCAGAGAGGCAGGCAGAGAGAGGGGGAAGCAGGCTCCCCGCTGAGCAGAGAGCCCGATGTGGGGATGATCCCAGGACCCTGAGATCATGACCTGAGCCGAAGGCAGAGGCCCAACCCACTGAGCCACCCAGGCACCCCCAAATACAGGTTAAAAAAAGTTACCAGAGCCACAGCCAGCTTAGGATGGGGGTGTTGGGGGAAGAGACAGTCCCAGACTCTCACACTTGACTCGGGCTGCAAATCATGGCCCTCCAAGGACATGAATGGAAGTGATGTGCGTGGTCTCCCAGCTGAGCAAGTGCCGCTTTCCCCCGAGCACCAGGGGTCTAGTGGGGAACAGAGCCACGGCAGGGACAGAGCCTGGATCCCCAAATCACTACACGGAGCAGAGCTTCCTT